TGTTTCTGGTTCAAAAGTGGCTTGACCTGGGGAATGCGGCACCTGTAGCCCATTTCCTGCACACGCCTGTGCACGGTGGCTCTGGATGTTTCTACTCCAGACTCAGTCCACTGCTTCCGCAGGTCCCCCAAGATCTGGAATCGGCCCTTCTACACAATCCTCCTCAGGGTCCGGTCACCTCTTCTCGTTGTGCAGCGTTTTCTGCCACACTTTTCCCTTCCCACAGACTTCCCACTGAGGTGCCTTGATACAGCACTCTGGGAACAGCCTATTCATTCAGCAATTTCTTTCTGTGTCTTACCCTCTTGCTTGAGGGTGTCATTGATGGCCTTCTGGACAGCAGTCAGGTCGGCAGTCTTACCCATGATTGCGGTTTTGAGTAATGAACAAGGCTGGGAGTTTTTAAAAGCCTCAGGAATCTTTTGCAGGTGTTTAGAGTTACGTCGTTGATTCAGATGGTTAGGTTAATAGCTTGTTTAGAGAACCTTTTCATGATATGCTAATTTTTTGAGACAGGCATTTTGGGTTTTCATGAGCTGTATGCCATAATCATCAGTATTAAAACAATTAAAGACCTGAAATATTTCCGTTGGTGTGCAATGAATCTGAAATATATGAAAGTTTCATTTTTATCATTACATTATGGAAAATAATGACCTTTATCACAATATGCAAATTTTTTGAGAAGGACCTGTAGACTGGATGGGCAAACTCCCATGACCCTTCCAGGACCCTAGTGAGGGTAAAGAGCTGCTCCAGTGTTCCACGGCCAGAACAGAACCCGCATTGTTCCTCCTGGATCTGAGGTTTGACCAACGATCGGACTCGTTTCTCCAATACCCCTGAATAGTCCTTACCAGATAGGTTAAGAAGAGTGATGCCCCTATAATTGGAGCACACCCTCCAATCCCCCTTTTTGAAGAGGGGAACCACCACCCCAGTCTGCCAATCCAGTGGCACTGCCCCTGATGTCCATGGGACGTTGCAAAGGCGTGTCAACCAAGTCAACTCCACAATATCCAGAGCCTTTAGACTTGCTGGTGGGATTGAGAAGATCTGAGAAGTATTCCTTCCACCTCCCGACGACATCACTGGTTGAGGTCAACAGCTCCCCACCTTCACTGAACACAGTGTTAGTAAAGTGCTGCTTTCCCCTCCTCAGCCACTTAATGGTTTGCTTGAATGTCCTCGGAGCCGACTGAGAGCCTCTATCCAAGGTATCACTGAACTGGGCGGTTGTGGCTGAGTGGTTAGAGCAGTCGTCTTTCAGTGCAAGAGTTGGGGGTTCAAATCCACCAGCAGTCACATGCCGAAGTGTCCCTGGGCAAGACCCTGAACTCCTCATTTCCTCTGATGTGTATCCCATCAGTGTATGAATGTGAAAAAGCACTGATTAGTCTCTTTAGAATGATTTGTTCAATTAGCTTTGTAGAGATCTAGTAGAGTGCTGTATGAATGGGTCAATGAGGACACAGGTTGTAATGTAAAGCGCTTTGAATATCTCTATAAGATAGAAAAGCGTTATACAAGTACAGTCCATTTACCATTTACTCTTCCCACATCTGAGCTTTTGCCTCAGCGACAGCCAAGGCTGCACACTGCTTGGCTCTTTGGTACTCCTCAGCTGCCTCTGGAGTCCCACAGGCCAACAAGTCCCGATAGGACTCCTTCTTCAGCTTTCTATTTTTTTTTTTTATTAGTGGCCTTAAGTAATTTTCTAATTTTCTGAGATACTGAATTTGGGGTTTTCATTAGTTGTCAGTTATAATCATCAACATTAAAAGAAATAAACATTTTAAATATATCAGTCTGTGTGTAATGAATGAATGTAATATACAAGTTTCACTTTTTGAATGGGATTACTGAAATAAATCAACTTTTTCATGATATTCTAATTTTATGACCAGCACCTGTATTTTCTGAATTGGGTTTAAATAAGCAGAAATAAGCACAAAAATTAGGAAATCACCTAAAAAAGCTGAAATGAGCACACAAACCCCCCCCCCCCCCCAAAAAAACTGAAAAGTATCTGAAAAGGCAGAAAGAACTTAACTACCAGAAGGAAATGGATAGAGGTGAAGTGAGCTAAAAACAAGTGGAATTGGTTGAAAATGTTATAAACGGAATAACTGAAACTAGAAGAAATTATCTGAAATGAGCATAATGAGCTGAAATTGGCATAAAGATGTCAATTGGGTTGAAAGTAGCAGAAATTACCTAACTGCCAAAAGGAGCGGGACCTACAGCCTAAAAGAGAGCAAAAGAGAGAGAGCAGAAATTGTAACCTAGCTGTCACGTAACTTCATTTCCTAGCTGTTTTTTTCACTGTTTCTTTCACCTTTTAATTATCATTCTGTTTTCAATTGTAAAAAAAACACATTAAATTTGTACGAACCATTTGTTAATGTCTATTGTTGTCGTCGTTATCCACTGTTGTCATCATTCTTTGTTAAAATCCAGGTCTCTGTTGTAAATTAATCCCCATGGCTCAATGAGACTAACATGTTCAAAGGTTGAATGAAAATTATCTTGAAAAACCTGATTTTCTTTTAAATCAGCTGAAATTAGCTAAAAAAATGCTAATAAAAAGTAGCTGAAAAGGTAGAACAAGCTTAAATCAACACAAGAAAGCAGAAAAAACATGTTTGCCTAATTAGGCTGAAAGAAGCAGAAATGAGCACAAAAATTTTGAAATTATCTAATAAAAGCTGAACTTGGCCAAAAATAGCTGAAAAGTAGCTAAAAAGGCAGAAAGAAGCTTACATTACCAGTACAAAGTCGAGAGAGTATTTTTCTGAATTATGCTTAAGTTGAAATGAGTTCAACAAATGTGGAATTAGCTGAAAAAAGCTTTTAATTAGTATAAAAACAGCTATATAGTAGCTGAAATAGTAGAAAAAGATAAAACACTGAAGCTGAAAGGAGCATAACAAGCAAGAAAGTTTGAAGAAGCACAAAAAAGCTGAAAGAAACTGAAGCATAACAAAATGTGAAAGGAGCAGTAAAAGGTTGTAAACAGATATAAAGATATAAAGGGTGGAAAATGAGCTCAGGGCATTTTCTATGAGAAAAAATGTCAAAAGGCTAAATATTTCAAAAAGCTAAAGTCGCACCAATACGAAAAGTCATAGCAGGATTGTTCTGAAAGAGCTGAATGTTTTGATTTATTTGTTGAAACTGCAGGACGGGAATCATACGGAAGAAAAGTGGAGCACAATAGTTGCTTCATAAACATTTACACAACGAAGCTGAGCAACACGAAACAATCAGACCACAAAGGTTTATCACTTTACTGAGTTGTCGATGCAAAAAGGCTTTAATAGATCAACACTGAGATCTGTTCTCTTTGAAATACAGTGAACCCTCGTTTTTCACAGGGGTTACGTTCCAAAAAGAACCCGTGATAGGCGAAATCCGTGAAGTAGTAAACTTTATTTTTTTTACAATTATTATACAATGAAATATTCCATAATACATTCAAACCAAAGAACAAAACCTTTTTACAGGCCCAAGCATTTGTTTAACAAATAAAAGTACTGTATAAACGTTTTTTACAAATAACTACTGTACTGGAGAGACTGTTTAGCCAATCAGAATGCAGAACCATGATGCAAATCCGTGAAGCAGCGAGACCTTGAAAGGTGAACCGCGTTATAGCGAGGGTTCACTGTATTCTTAAATAGCATTTTTGTCATCTTATACTAATTTAGCCTTTCAGCTAATTTTTTTTCTTCTACTTTTAGTTTTCAGCTAGATTTTTCTGCTTTTAGCTCATGTTTTTCAGCAAGCTATGTGCAGAAAGGGGGAGGAGTTGAAAAGTTTGATAGCCACAGGGAGGAAAGACTTCCTGTGGCGTTCTGTGGAGCACCTCGGTGGTCTCAGTCTACGACTGAAGGTGCTGCGCTGAGTGGGGGAGTGGTGGCGCAGAGGTTAGAGAAGATGGGCCTGTGATCGGAAAGTCACAGGTTCAACTCCTGTTACCGTCAACATCAAAATGTCGGTGAAAAAGGTGGAACACCTACACCTACCTCCACCCTCATTTGTTCCACTCTGGGCCCCTGAGCAAGGACCTTAACTCCCACCTTCTGCTCCTGAAAACAGGTCTCTCTTGAATATGAGTTCTCGTGACTCAATGAGACTACCTGTATAAATAAAGAGTAAATTAAAAAAGTGAGTCCAGTGTGTCATGCAGGAGATGTGACGTGTTGTTCAGGATCTGCAGCAGTTTCCTCAGCATCTTCTTCCTGTAGTCCACCTGCAGCTCTTTTGACAGAGTCAGAGATTCTTTGTTTTGTTTTTTCCAGTGTTAAGTTGCAGGTGGTTCTGTCCACACCAATTCCACAAAGCTGTCAACCACACCTCTGTATTCAGATCCTGGTCACCAGTGATATAGCCCACAATGGCAGAGTCATCTGAGATCTTCTGCAGAATGCAGGATTATGAGTTGTGCCTGAAGTCCAAGGCATAGCGTATGAAATGGTTAGTCTGGTTGGAATTACAACAAATGTGACTATTTTAAGAGACAAATTGTTGCTTGAATGTCTTGGACATGTTCAAAGTTCAAGCAGCAAAACCGTTTCTGCAGCACACACAGGGAAACTGAGAAACCCCAAGCACATTTGGAGACATTTTGGAGACTCTTTGGCATGGGACAATCATCAAATAATTTCCAGCAGTTGCATCCTAATGAGATACTGGTACCAGAGAAAGATTTGGAAGTGATTAGTACACCACGGGTCAGGAGCTGGGACAGAGAGAACCATTTAGGAACTCCACCATATGAAGTAATACCTGAAGGCATTATCACAAAGAACATTTCATGCCTTAACCTTAAAAGTCAATAAGGTGGTTTTTCTAAGAAGCGTAAGTGGGGCCCTGAACTTTTCGATCTGGGATTGTGTGATCTTTGAAACTAAACGATGGCATCAATATTATCAAATATCTAAACCTGTCTGCTTTCCTTATAAAGCCAATCACCATTTGTTGTATTTCTTGTGTAGTGGTCAGGATGTTACCACGATATTACATCTGGTCCAGAGTCTCATTCATGAGGCAGAGGAGGACGACGAGAAGCCCACCCAACAGTAAGTAGATTTCATTTAAAGTACAACTCAGAACGTGAAGGTAGTGTTTCTTTAGAGTGCCTGGTGGTCGAGCCTTGGCTCCTGGGGCTTGGCCAGGCAAAGCCTGAAAGAAAGACAGAATACCACGTCCATGTGTGCCTACCACCTGCGAGGAGGACCATCGAAGTCAGGTGCATTGCAGACCAAGTAGTAGGCGAAGGCGGGGCACTGGGCGTGCCAATTTCTGGTGACATAAACTGACCATAGAAATGGTGAATGTCTCCCATCTGGTGAAAAAGGAGGCGAGGATACTCGCAAGCCCCTGGTTGAGTGCCTAGTTCTAGTTTTTCTCAATGAATGGGAAGGTTGCCTGTGACTTAAAGTTGCAGGAGGGATGGTTTTGACTGTCTTCTGGGCTTTTGCACCAGGCAACAGTTCTGATTACCTGACCGTCTTAGTGTTTCGAACTGGACTAAAGTTGGTCCCCCTTCCAACCGAATTTGGTGTTCAGTGACTCAGAGAGCCGGACGGGACCGTCCAAAAATATATTTTGGTCCAGGACCGGCCGCTCCCACTCCACCGGTCACTCTGAGCGCACCCTGGCGGCCAGGTGACCCCTCGAGCTGGGGAGTCTGGGGAGAAGTTCGGAATTTGTATCGGAGTTGCTGCAGGCCTCCATCCAAACTCACCTGGATAATAATTAATTTTATTCCAGATCTCCTGATGCATGCTCAATAATCCAGGTAGAAAAATCCAAAAAAGTTCAATCTGGTCCTCTGGACATTCAACAACCACCACATACAGAACACCATGGACTTTGTGGATAAGGTGAGGGATGTCATCATGGAGACTGATGAAACAATGGTCTCTTTTGATGTCACACACTCTTTACGTGCATTCCTGTTGATGATGCAGTAGAGGTGGTCAGTTTAAGATTAAAATCAGACACCATTCTGAGCAGCAGGACCACGCTTTCCACAGAACAACTGTGTCAACTCTTGAAACTGTGCCTGCAGTCAACCTACTTCACATATGGGGAGCAATATTATAGGCAGAAACATGGGTGTGCTATGGGGTCTCCAGTTTCTCCTATTGTTGCCAACCTGTACATGGAGGAGAGCCTTGACGTCCTTTTCAGGGACACCACCAAGTCATTGGTTCAGGTATGTTGACGACACCTGGGTTAAAATCAAATCTCAGGAAGTCCAACATTTTACTGACCACATCAACTCTGTGGATAAATACATCAAGTTCACATGAGAATATGTAAAAAATAGCAGGTTGGATTTCTTGGACTGTGAGGTCTCAGTCTCTGATAGAGGACATTTGCAAACTGAGGTGTACCGCAAACCCACCCACACAGACCAGTATTTGCAGTTTGACTCCCATCACCCTTTGGAGCACAAGTTAGGAGTCATCAGGACTCTGTATCACAGAGCAGACAGCATCCCCACTAACTCAGGAGCCAGGCAGAAGGAGAAATCCCACACAAGACAGGCTCTTCCTGAAAGCAGAGAAGAAACCCAAACAGGACTCCAGTCAGCCATCAGGTGAAAAGGAGGAACCCAGACCCAGACCAGTGGTCATTCCGTATGTTGAGGGGGTATCAGAGAAACTGAGACGTTTATTTTCTAAACATAACGTCCCAGTGGCTTTTAAACCCCAAAATACATTACAGCAAAGACTGGTTCATCCCAAAGATCCAGTCCCCCGGCAAAAACAGAGTAATGTTGTGTATGTTGTTCAGTGTCAGGAGAGCTGTGATCAGTCTTACATCGGGGAAACTAAACAGCCACTGGCCAAAAGGATGGCCCAGCACAGAAGATCAACATCATCAGGCCAGGATTCTGCGGTCTACACTCATCTCCAGGCCAGCAGTCACTCTTTCAGGGATGAAGATGTTCACATCCTGGAAAGAGAGGAACGATGGTTTGAGAGAGGAGTAAAGGAGGCCATCTTTGTGAAAATAAATCGTTCATCATTAAACAGGGGTGGAGGCCTCCGGGTTCAACTGTCCCCCTCTTACAATGCTGTGATTGCTAGTATCACTCAGCCCTCTGTGAGTAGTAAACAGCCATCAGTGTGCTAATGACCCATTGTTAGGCTGATGGTCCTTCTTGAGCATGTGATCAGCTGGTTTTGGTTGTCAGCAGCAAACTGGTTGATCCACTCTGAGAAGGTGCTATTTAAGAGACTGAGCTGAATACAGCACCTCAGACTGAGGAAGTCTCTTGGATGAGAGACGAAACGTTTCTAGATTTTTTTGCTTTGTTTTTTTCTTTTTTTTTTTTTTGAATGTCCAGAGGACCAGATTGAAATTTTTTGGATTTATTCCAGATCACGCTGTTGGCCCCTGTTGATCTGAAACGAGCTAGGATCATGCCTTTCACTTCAGGAGGATTTTCTGGCAGTTTGCTCTGCTATTTGCTGCAAATTATCTGTTTCTGTTTCGGCCTGTTGATTCTGGACCCAGCTTCTGTTTCCCATGGGAGCATCCATCTATCTTCACTGGGGGGCAGGAGCCCCCCTCAGCCCAACTCAAACTGCAGTTGGGCCACCTCGTCGGGTTTGTTTGCCCATTTGAACTGTGACGTTTTATGGTCTGAGACTTTTCTGCATCATTCTTATTATTGTCACTATTTTCAGTTTTCAGATTATCTGGAGTCACTGAATCTTGTTAATACACCTGAATCTGCCCATCACTGTAACTTTCACTGTTTTTGGGTTCTGAATGATCGCGTCTTCATTAATGTTTCTCATGGTTCGATTATGGGCGCTAATTGTCACACTGTTGACTCCTTCAATTACACATCAGTCACGAAAAACTCAAGAAAATGTCTGATAATAATGTTGTTACTGCTCTCAGGGATTCAACCTAACCCTGGACCCCCCACTATTTATATGACACAAAATGACTTTAAAAACGTGTCTGGACTTCATTTTTTGCATGTAAACGCTCGTAGCCTTCTGAGAAAACTTGATGCCTTGAAAATTCTGGTCAGTTCTTCTGGGGCAGATGTAATCTTCATCTCTGAAACCTGGCTCAACAAATCTGTACTCAATAATGACCTGGCAATCAATGGATTTAACATCTACCGCTGTGATCATCAAAAAAGTGTGTGGGGGGTCGCTGTTTACATCAGAGATTCTTTGGTTGCTAGTCCTTTGTCTTCTAAAACAATTCCAAACCAAATTGATGCCTTAGCTGTAAACATCACTTTAAATGGAGGCCAGATCTTATCACACCTGAGGCTCTGTCCACCCTGATGGAATTCCTTGGTAATTTAAAATTCAAAGAGATCTTTTTGGCAGGAGACTTCAATATTGACTGGGATAAGTTGACTCCCCTCTGTGATAAATTCAAGGAATGTTGCCTGTCTCTCAATCTTACCCAATTGATCAACTCTCCCACTAGATTAAACAAAAACCGTCCTGAAAAATCCTCCATCTTAGACCTATTTCTAACTAATATGCCTCACAAATTCTCTGGTACAGGTGTATTTGCCAATATCTTGAGTGATCATTGTGTGACAGCTGCTTTGAGAGATATTAAACTTCCACCTTCTAAGCCCAGATTAATTTTAAAAAAGAATCTGAAACATTTTTGTGAACAGTCATTCCTCTGGGTTCTGTCTCACTTTAACTGGCATCGTATTCTGTTAACTGATGACGTGAACTCCGCTTGGAACTATTTTCATAATAGTTTCATTTATTTTGTGAACAAACATGCTCCTTTTTGTCAGTTCAGAATAAAGGGACGAGACAGCCCCTGGTTTACTCCAGAGCTAGCTGACCTGCACAGGAGAGACCATCTTTGGGCCACAGCGAGAAAATCTGACTCAGACACTGATTGGTTGAGTTTTCGACAGATGAGGAATAAATGTACAACTGCTGTCAAAGCAGCAAAACACAACTATTTCTCATCTCAGACCTCCAAAAATCTAAATGACCCAACAGATTCTGGAAAACCATCAAATCTCTCTCAGGCACCCCACAATCATCTGACCTCCCATCACAACTTCTCGTTAACTCTGTTCCTGTGTCAAATAAGCACGAGATCCTGAACTGTTTCAACAAACATTTTGTTTCTAGTTCTTTATTTGACACAGTTACTAACGGAAAATCAGCCACTTCACTTAATAACCAAACTTCTACAAATCAAATCCCTCCTACAAGTCAATCCTCAGTTAAACACACCTTCTCTTTTTCTCCGTTCTCCGTCAGTGAGGTCAATACACTGTTAAAAGATCTTGATCCTAAAAAATCTGCAGGTCCAGATGAATTTCCACCTTATTTCTTAAGGCTGGCTGCTCATATCATCACAGTCCCTGTGATCCACATCTTCAATCTCTCCATAAGACAAAACTCCATCCCAGACACTTGGAAAACAGCCTTTGTTCTTCCTTTGCTGAAGGGAGGTGACCCCACCTCACTGAACAACTATCGACCAATCTCTAAACTCTGCATTTTAGCCAAGGTTCTAGAAAAACTGATAAACTCTCAAATCAAAAATTACCTGGACTCATTTAACATCTTGCCTCCACATCAATCTGGTTTCAGGAAACAACACAGCACAACCACTGCTTCACTGAAGGTTCTTAATGACATTGTTGAAGCACTGGATACTAAGGATTATTGTGCTGCACTTTTCTTAGACCTGTCTAAAGCTTTTGACACTGTGGATCATAACATCTTGTGTCATAAACTCTCAGAAATTGGTTTCTCAGAACACACCATTGGTTGGTTCTCTAACTATCTCTCAGACCGGAAGCAATGTGTTCAACATAATGGTACTTCCTCCAGTTATTTAACAGTCAACAATGGTGCACCACAAGGCTCAGTCTTAGGACCCACCCTCTTTACAATCTACATACATAATGTAGGTAAAAACATCCCTAATGCATCCATACATTTCTATGCTGATGACACAGTTGTTTATTGTCGAGCTAAAACTGTTGCTAAGGCTTTCCAACTTTTTAAATCTGCATTCAACAACATCCAGACAGATTTGTTCCGCCTCAAACTTGTCCTAAATGCCGACAAA